AAAGGGAAAGTTGAAAACTCAAACTGCCAGTCAGAAACTTGGCTGGAAAAATGCCAATTTTTGTCCAATTTTATTCAAAGCATTTACAGCTTACTTGGTTACTTTGATGTAGTGCGTTGGGTCAAAATACCCACCAAGCACTTTTTGTTATGTTTGAGGCATGTATTTAGAATTAGCTTAGACAAGGTGCATTACCCTTGAATTATCTGTGTGAGCTAAAGCAAAGCAGATGCAGGAAGAATGTGATTATCTTGGTAATGTTTGTGAAACAGATGTGAGCGCTAGCAGTAGAATAAAGCAAGCACCCTTCTATGTTACTAATGTTGTTGCCACTTGGCTGATAATACACGCACATCCACCACCTCCTTCCTCAGGCTACTGGATAGATATGTGAAAAAAATATTTTTAGGAAAAGGTCTTATCAGAAATATCTGTCTAAAATAAGGTTTACCCCTTGAAATACTGAACAGACTTTGGCTTCTGACTCCTACAGCATCACATCCCACAGGTTGGAAAAAATCAACAGCCACATTTCTGTTCTCTTCACTTTCTTTATGAATTTATTTTCCCTCAATACAACATATTCTAAAAGGACCAAAACCAAACACACACTGCATGGCGAGACCAGACATGATCCAGGTTCCTCTCTCTGCAAGAATTTAGCCGTTTCTCTTAAGTTTGCCACAGGTTTGGTGATTGCTGAGCCCACATGAAGGAAGAGAAGGTGCACAGACACACACCCTTCTGGGCAGCAGCCCCGTGCCTGGCTTGTCCCAGCTGGGTACGTGTCAGGGAGGGATGGGGGCAGCCAAATCATCTCGGGATTTGCAGCAAAGGCTGACCTCAGAGGTCTTCATGGGGCAATTTATTCTGTCTAAGGGTGATAAGGTGACAGGCAGGTGCTTTTCAGTGCTGACTGAACACCATACATTTTTTTTTGCAAAGGGTCTGGAAGCAGCTGGTAGATGTTCTAGTCTGGTATTAGCACATTCATCTTGCCTTCCTCATCCAGGATCACTTTTTCCAGCTCAGAAGCTTTGTCCTGAATTGTGCAGCCCATAGGAGAAAATCCCAAAACTTTCTGTTAGGGTACACTCTTACCTGCCTCAGGGTCTGGTTTCATTGCTCAGAAAATTGGGTTGGGGCCACGGCCTCCCATAGCAGCCCTTCTTTCCATCCTGCCTGAAGTGCCATGCTACGGAGCACCTGACATCTTGCTTGTCCATACATAAGTAATGCAAAAGATAAAAGACCTTCATCCCTCTCCAGAAATAAACAATGGTGAATCTAGTGCTGTGCAAGGCACTAAGTCATACCTGACTCAAAGTTATGATGTGAGATGAACCAGGATTGTAGAGGCTTGGGTACCTTAACACTCATCCCAAAGTAGGCTGGCATCTGTGGCCATTTTTCTAGACATGATTCCTTCACAGATTTCAATCCATGGTTAAAAAAAAAATATTTTAAAAAAATCCGTAAAGATGTCACGCATTTGCTTACTAAAGAAAATTGGCAAAGGAAAGATAAAAACCATATATTTCTGTCTCCAGGCTTCTAGGGAATAAATACAGAGCTCTATCTTACTCTTCAGCACTGCATAAGAAACAGAATGCAGAATTTCCTCCTTGAAATACTTTGGCACAAACAACTATTCTGCACTATTTGTTTAGAAATCCAGTGGGGCTTCACGGAATAAAAGCTAGCATCTTCATACTGGTGGTTGAAATAAGAACTAATTTCATGCACAATTGGCAGCGCAGAAGGAACTTCCTTGATATCCAAAGAGCAAAAGATTTTATGAGGCTGCATATGTATTTATGATTATTTAAGGTTCTTGTTATAATGAGGATCCTTTAAGGAGAGGAATTTTGTATTTTAATTTGCATAAAGACAATAAAAACTCTTTGAGAAGCAATTTCTCTCTATATAAAAAGTGAGAACATAGCACCTTAGTGGCACAGACATCTGTTACTTAAGCAGATGCCACCATGTAAACTCCATCAAGCAACACTATCCACCAATCAGAAGCCACCCAAACTACATCCACAGCCAACATTCTGTGGGTGGCTGGGAGCCTCCAAAACAGGTTGAGAAGTGATGGGCTTTTCTTCAATGTCCTCATTAAGCATTCAGTGGCATTTATTTTTTCATCGTTAACGAACATTACTGTATCGTATGGCTCTGTAGCTGCTTTTCAGTATAAAGTTAATCCCCATGATCTACAATCCTCAGTTCTTGGTTACGAGATTCATATCAAAGGAGCGCTAGCCCTTCGACACGTGAGATAAATAACCACTTCTTTGTTTCTCATTATGACTGCGGTTTAACGTCCTCATTTGGGAGCTGATGTATCGATATCTCTGAGAGAGATTAAATATTGCCTGCTTAAGTGCTACATGCAGTGATACAAACTCAGGGGACTGTATTCAACAGCTGAGCAGAACCGATGAAGTCTGGGGCTGATAAGCCCTTTCTGAAGTTAGCTTACACTTTAAATTAGGAGTTCATGAAAGGCATTAAGAAAAACTATTATATTACTAGAATGGATGGCAGTACAGTTTATATGTTACACCTTGAAGTAAGCAGTAGGATTTTCAATCACTTGATAACCTTGAAACTGCTAAGGTATCAAATTGCTATCATGAATATTGTGCAGGAACAGAAATAACTCAGAAAGCTGCCTTTGTGAATAATAATGTGGGAGAGAGCAAAGTTCTTCCGGGCTGGACTCACAATAGCACCAACAAGCAAATATACATGAAGGCAAGGCATGTGCTTAAACAAGTGCATTTGCATCTGACTATATATCAATCACTTATCAGTACAGCCACATCTTACCTGACCCATAGAGAAAATAAAAAGCCTGCTAGATAACTTTGAAATCCAGGAAAAAGAAACTGCAAGAAACTCATTTTTAGATATGCACCTGAAACGATTAGGATAAAACACCCTATACTTTGATAGGCATTACATCTCGAAGAGAGTATTTTAAAAAATACGCACAGTACAAATCCTTCCATGCAGGAATTCAATTTAAAAATCCAAACAACATATCTTCCTGGTTTGCATGCTAGACGTTTTAATAAATCCTGAGCTCCGATTCTGATTTCGTTTACATTGGAGGAAAATGCAGAGATTTCCTGGGTATGAGAAATCTGAGGCGGCCCTCCAGCCTCTCATGTTTATGTCCTGAATCAGTGGAGTTTATACCAAACTCCTTTTTTTGTTGTTCTGAAGTACAACATGGCTTGAGTCTTGTGGCATTTTCAGGTGACACAGCCTACTGAGATCATCTGACAGCCATGTGAAAACTCAATGTCTGGAGTGATTCATCATTGTGTCAGATTGTCCTGCACTTTGTCACAATGACTGACAATAGGGGAAACTTGGAAATAATACAAAGATTCAACGCTTGCTGATAATGCCTGCATTGTGATTAGAGAGGCTGCGAGCGTGTGAGGGGAATGCTAATTCTGTCCCCCACCCCCAATTTCATACTGCTTTTGCTTTCAACAGCTGGGCGTCTGCGCTTGCTTTCTTAATCTTCGCTCCTGTGGCATTTTTAAATGCAGAACCTTTTTTTTCCAGGGTGTTAAAGAGCCATATTATTACAAATACAAAAAGAGGCAGCACGGCGCAGAAGGGTAAATTCTGCCAGCAACTCTAGGCACTGCTTGGTCAGAAGTATCTCTGGGTGGACATGCCCTTCCCATCTAAATGCTAACCTTATCAGGGTATCTCACCAGCACCTCAAATAACGGTAAAACACTTTGAGCAGTAATTCCAGGAATGCTATAAAACCCAGCAAGCACATGCAAATTTGCATGCGGAGCGGAATCTTGCAGAAGGGTCTTATAAAAAAATGATTACGGAGAAATTTTTCCTTTATTTTGCATTGACTTGCAATAAAGGTTTAAGATAATTGCTGACTCAATAGGGTATTGACACACAAATAGCAAGAAAAACTGGTTGCAGCAACTTTCATGCTGTAAAGCTCCTCAAGTTTTATCAGCGTTCACAGCAACAACATCAAAGACCATGGACTCAGCTGCGTAATTAATCGGGAGAAAAAGAGAGACCCTTTCTGAGCGCTCCAGCTGTCCAAGTTGTTTTGTTGGATAAAGAATAGGAAAAAAAGCAGAAGCAAGAACCAGCAAGTCAAACATTGCCTCCTCTACCAAAGTAATGAAGGCAGCAGAATTTCTCCCATTTCTGTCAATATATGAGAAGTTGAGTGTCTCCGGCTTGTGTCTCCTGCCCAGGGAGAGGCCAGTGGCCACACTCCGGGGTGTGCAGGATGGGACAAGCCGCCCCCGAGGATCTCCCCAGTGGTGACCGAAGCAGCACGGGCCAGGATGCAGGAACATGCATCGGGCTGCAGTGAGCAGGGCAACAGCACGTGGCTGCAGCTACGGTGGGTGACGTGCGCTGCAGAGCACGTAATTCACTGCTCTAGTTTCTTGTGAGGGAAAACGGCAGCTCTACTCAGAAGATGAGAGACGGGCAAGTTGGCAAACAACCACCTTTGCTCCATCTCTCCTTCAGTTCTGCCTTTTTTGCTGCTTCTCCCGGGAAGAGGCTCATGAGAGAGGCTGATCTACCCACCGAGCAAAAAGCAGGTTTAGAAGAGAAAAGACAGCAATAACTCTGAGCTCGGCAGGTGACGGAAATTCCATTTTGTCCCCATTTTAAAAATGGAAGAGTGCAAATTTCTCTGAATAATATTACTTGTTTACAAACTCAGAGGGTATTTATAATTTCAGAGCTCAATCTCACAAACAACCCACTTATTTAGATGTGCGCTATTATGCTTTAGGAGAAGTGAAAATAAAAGAAAAAGAGATTTTGCTGGAAGAAAAAGAATGATCCAGTTATCTAATGGACAGTAGTAATGTATTTTTCTTTAAGCAAATACCAAGATTAAATAGATTCAGAAGAAAAGATGCGCAAACCTCCTGCAGCCTTGTACTGTTCTCTTTGTATGAAGAGCTGCACGATGACAAAACTGGTTCAACATATCGGAGAGTAACCAGAGTCTGATTCTGGTCTTGCTTATGCTGATATAAAACCGAAAAAAAAACCCACAGGCCAAGGTGAAGTCACTCTGAACTGGCAGTGGTGCACCTGAAAGAAAATAAAACCAGATCAAAACAACCGGTAGAAAGTTATCTAGTTTCCAGTGACCACAGCTCAGTGCGGGTTAGGTTTGTGTGAGCTGGAAGCTGAGGTGGCTTGGATTGCTTATATTGGAGTGTAAAAGCCTTTTCAGTGCGATCGGCTAGCATTTTGTCTCTAACAAATATGGGCACACAGCTTGAAAATATTTAATGAATGGGTACATTAATTTAAGCTCAGTAACACATTTCCATCTCAAACTGCAATACTGCTCAATGAGCACAAGTATGTGGTTTATTTGCTGAATATGGTTCATTTCAGGATAGAGAGTGAGGAGACCAGGGTAGATGTTAAAATACATCTACACAATAAATGATCCATAGATTAGAAAGATGTCAGAAGTTATCCGTTAAAGAAAGGTCCACAAACATTGCAAGCTGAGGGAAAGAATGGCTGTATTTATGTTGAAAAATCAGTAAAAAAAAAAAAAGCAGTAAGAAGAACAGATATACTTTTTCACTCTGTTGCTTTGGCAAGATGAGCTTGAACCATCAGCTTCAGGTCTCTGGACCTTTAACTTGTGACAATGGTGATGGAAGACGCAAGTTTCTTAAAATGTCTTAACAACCACAGCAGCATCTGCCCGTGTAGATATTAAAGATATAGTCAGTGAAAGCAATACAAATCCACAATGAGATTACAATCTAAACAGCTGGGAAACAATTGCTATGTTCAATCATTCAGGAGAAATCATTGCTGGCCTTTGGACTACCCATTACATTTTTATCCGCAGTTGTTTCTTTCTTATAATTAACATGTAGTATCAAGTACATGATTTAATTTATTTTTTTTTTTTACCAAATGCACTCTTCTATACAGATTGCAATTATCATTGAAATATTTTAATATTAAGAAAACAGCAAAAAATAAAGAGTAGTTTCATTTTTAATGTTCCAGTTTAATTAAGAAAGTGTTCAAGTAATTTAAAAATGTAGGCATTAAAATACCAATTAAGCTTAAGGCAAGTTTTCCCATTAATTTTGATGACACCAATACAGGGGTGTCACATAGAGGTGACCCCTTAGAAACAGGTTATTCTGAGTATTACATTTGGCTATACTAATGCTGAGAGAAAATGAATTAATTTATGAAGAAACTGCACCTATTTGGCTAATCCCAACAGGCTGAGCTTTGAGAACCACGATGCATTTCTCACAACAAGTAACTTAGCAAACATAACCTCCTTTCAAGGTTTTAATTACAATTTTTATTTCTCAGGTGTCCACTTTGGGTGGCCATCTTGTTGAAAATGAAAATATTTAAACATAGTTTTAACTGTGGAGTACAAACACAACTGAAATCTATAGTTTGAAATAAAGGCTATTCTAAAGTGCAGGAGTTATTTTTAAAATTGTTTATTGTTCTAATTCAATGGTGGTGGCTAAATGAAAAATGTACCATTTTAACACAGTAAAATTCACATATTGCCTGAAACTCCAATGCAGGAATACTGCAAGTTTTCATGGGTGGCAGCAACATTAAGAAAGCAGAAGTCCATATATCTGAGTATTTACAATTAAAACTTTGTGGGTAGCTGGGCCCATTAAAAAGCTCAGAATAGATTACCTTGCAAGAACAGTTCCTGGAAATACCCTTACAGACCCAGAAAAAACTAATTCTTAAAGCCAGCCTGGTTATGATGGATTTAAGTTTAAATTTATCTCATTTCATTTTAGTTCTTAAATTGGTTAATGAGGCTGAAATATGCTTTATTTCAGGGAAGTCGTACTGATCTGGACGAGGAACAGAATTTATGCTGACGTTCGAGTCAAGTGCAAATACCACCATCACTTCTTCATTACCACGTTAACTGGTGTGATCTGTTCTGCTCAGCAGAACTCGAACAAAATGTCAGGTTCCTAAATGAAGAAGCTCCTGGGTCTCTGTGAGAAACTGGCTGATTGGTTAAAAGTACTTCAACCTTTATTTAATTCATGCCTTATAAGTGCTCTTTGGCAGGAGCTCTTGGGATCTGATCTTATGTCACACTTACTGAAACTCATTTAATTATTTGCAGCTGAAGAGGGCAGGGAGATGGTTATCGCACAGGGAAAATCTAATCCTCTTCTTTATCAGTTTAAACCCCAAACCAGGGAAGTCAGTTAGGATTCCTGTACTTACCTCAGTCCCATTCCCTGGTAACTTGTCTGTCAGTACATGGCCCTTTTCTTTGGCTTTTTAAGGGGGTGATTTCTTCCAGGGACTTAGAGGTGCTTTGCAAGCACATGTCCACAGTCTCCCTGAATGCAGACCCTGTCCTGGAAATCTCTAAGCCGCTGCTCCCTGCCATGCTTCAGTCGGCAACAAAGTCATTAATGCTGGGATTGCAAATATCCCCAGTGGTTGTTTCAGCTGCCACATGGATCTAAGGGAGCAATGTGGATATTCTGCAAACTCGGGCAGCCGCTGCCAGACCAGGGACTGTGCGTTCACACTGCCACGATGGCGCGAAGGGGCTGGGGCCTCAGTGCCTCCTGAGCACAGGTTAATACCAAGTTTTAATAAAGACCAAGCTCCTGCCATAGATTTCTAAGTGTTTTTCATGGATCCTTGGTGGAAAACATCGTATGCTTTGTACTTAAGGGTGGGAAAAGGCAAAAACATACATATTCTCCCCTTATGAGTAGAACATGAAATAGTTTTGATGGAAAGCACATGCAGAATACAGGATTCAGCCTAAGGCTAAAGACAGAGTATCAGTGACTTTTATAGCTTTAAAAATTGGCTTTACGACTATCATTAAATTAAAGCATCTCTCCTTGTGGGGGACTTCTGTTTCATCAGGGGTTGCGTACCTCTTAGCACAATTAGTCACTTCCAAAGTGCTGTCATCATAAAACTTATTATTTGAAATTGTAACTTAAGAAAATCAGAAAAAAAAAAATTTTGAATGAAGATGTTCAGTAGTGGTCTTAGACCAGGCTTGTTAGATTTATGATAAATTCTTAGCTGCGTGTTTCTCTTTTTACAAATTCCAAAATGAGCAACGTATAAAATATATGGTATAAATGTTTCCCTTGAAAACTTTTGTACACTTCATGATTACATAGCTTAAGAAGTTTAGAAGCCTTGGGCAAGCAAGCTAACGTGTAAGGGGAACGCTTAAGAATTGTTTGTATGCTTGATTTGTTTTACAGTGCATTTGGTCTTTAGTTTTGATTGGATTGTCTTACTGAAACATGAAGGGCATTTAGAAAGTAAGAAAGTGAATAGGATACATTTGCAACTATATGCCCAAAAGCAAGATCTTAATGTCAGAAGTAAATTATAACAACTTACATTACTCATGACATACATTATAATTCAAAGCTTGGCAAACCACATCAAGGTTGTTCTTACCATGATTTGACAAAAATGTCTTTGAAGCCTTGTGTTTTTCAGGTTTACAGTAACCAGACTTTATTTATGCTAGGAATTTCATAAATAAAAAGCAAGCGTTACAGAAGATAAATGTATTTTTTCTAAATGTTGCTGAATCTTTGTAAAAAGTAAAACACTTACACTAATAATTGTAGGAGTAGGATGGTCCCAGTGAGTAAGAGAGATTTCAGCCATCATCTTTTTACTACGGTATCTTTGGGTGATCTGGAAGTGATTTCCAGGGATGGATCTATGAAGGGAATTAGGTAGTCAAGTCTACCTGTGGCATCTAGATGAAGGAATCCCAGGCCCGTAATCACTTCTGCAGGTGATATGGGATGTGCAAATGGGACAAGTTTTGCTTGTGAACAGCAGAGGAGCACATGAGACTTCCTGTTCCCCTGGCACATGGCAGCTCTCTCCTGTGTGTATCCCAGAGGATTTTGTGGCTCAGCAGTGCTCCACAAGGACCCAGTCTTGCAGGAGGATTTAACACATGCTCAGGATTCACAGGTGGGCGTAGGCAGGAGATGACACCCTCCCCAGTCCCTTACCCATGCAAAAGCAGCCGTGGTGCTCAGGCCACGGGTGTTTCAGCTGTCTGCTCTGTCTCTGGCAGCAGTCCCAAGGATGGCAGGAACAGAGCATCTTTCTGTGCAGCTTGTTACGCTGGCAGGAAAATCCATACCTTCCCTTGAACGTGACTGCAGCCTCCAACAACCTGCAGTTCCTGGACTTCCTATGCAAAAGATGTTTTCTCCATAGTCCTTAATCCTTAAAATATTTCCATGGATTTGTCTGGTCTTCTCCAAACTCACTTAAACCTTCAACATCCCCAGCCTCTTCAGGCAAGCAGATACAAAGTTAAATGACAAGTTTGGTGGAGGAAAGCAGCTTGCCTCCTTTGTAATGGGAAGCCTTTCCAGCAACTAAACTCATTTATTTCAGAGGTACCTGATTCAATGCCTGATCTCTCCAGTGGGATTAAACCCCAAATCTCTCACTATGGTGACCAAGTTTCTCCCCAGGTAAAGCGAAACTCTCCCCCTCCATCAGTTATTATATGATCAGGAGAAGAGAGAGAAAGCAAGAAGTGTCAGCAGCCACTTTCTGCAGGCTCCTGTTGGGGCACTTACAGGAATGATGGACTTGTGTTTCAATCCCTGCTCTACTAAATACCCCACCACGTTACACTATTATTCAAGGCTCAGGCACCTTTCACTCCGATGAATGAGTCTAGTTTAACTGCAGGGTGAATGACGATGAGGAGCAAGGTGATTGCTCCCAATTTACTCTGGTGGAAATGGCTACCACTTTAGAATCAGGCCCACTGAAAAACCAAAAATAAAAATATTCACAACCCTTAAACATAATAAGCCTGATTTGTCTTCATTTCAGCTGCAATCAGTGAGAAACAACCGCACTGAAGTAAGCCTGAATGAAACATGAGATGGCATATTTAGGTTAACAATGGCTGAATTTACTCTAGGTTTAGATTCTCGTGCAGAATTTTAGTAAAAAGGGCTCTGTGCCATCACTGTGTCCAGACGCTGGAACTACAAGCTCCTGGCACGAGCGCTACAGCATCG